TGAACCGAGAACTCCCAGTAATGGCAGAACTGGTAAAATACCACCCCGTTTTGCTATCGGAAGTGCTCGTTTTCGGATTGCTTTCTTGGACGACTTCTTTTTCTTCATGCCCATACCGATTTTCGTTTTAACTTTCATGGTAGCCCAAACGATGGCAGCAGCCGCTCTCTCGCCTAGAGTTGAATCTTTCGAAGTTATGCGTTTCCACGCTTTCACAGCGAGAATCTTATCTGCCGCGTGTCGATCAGTGAGACTGTTACTACGTGAATAGGCTACATCGTGCTCACGACACGCCGCGTCCAATGAATTAATGCCTCGATCGCCTCTGGCCAATCGTTTTGCCAAGCGAGTTCCAGGACCGCAAAATTGATATACGGGAATGTGTAGTTCGATAGGAAGCGCATTTATCGCGCGATTCAACAGACCGCTGCTGACTTTGACTTTTGTCGAAGGCATTCACTACAGTCGCGGATCAGCGGTGCCGGACTATCGATATGCGTTCGCTGCCACGGACGATTGTAATGTTCCAAACATCGACGATACTGCTGAACCTCTGGATCGACTCTTATATGTTCAGGGAGTCTGTCTCACAAATCGCCAATATACTTTGCAAAATCGCGTAACAAAACAATCTTCGGTATGTATTTCAACTGTTCGGAGGTTAGCTCTCGAATATCATGAGTATCTGTCAAAAGGAGCAACATTTTCTAAACTGAGCGTTTCCAAGATCGGCGCGTCTATATATATGGTTCAATCGCAACGATCCATTAACATAATCAATTTTGTGACTCGTGGGGAGAAACATGCGATTCGTGAAGCAACCGTCATCGATACGTGTGACAAATTTCGACAATTGAACGCAATCAATGATTGGACAAGAGGCGCGCAGGCATGGAAACATGCTTCCGAACACCATACGCGGCATCATATGCGGTCCCTCGAATTGCGGCAAGACGAATGTTCTCATCAGCTTGCTACAAAGTCTGCACGGTCTGCGTTTCGAGAACTTGTACGTGTACTCAAAATCGTTGCAATAACCTAAATATCGCTACTTGGAAAATTTGTTGAAACCGATAGATGAAATTGGATACTTTACATTCTCCGATAACAGCGACGTGATTCCAACGACCGAAGCGTCAAAAATTCTATTTTTATCTTTGACGATGTGGCATGTGACAAGCAAGATACGGTAAGAGAATACTTTGCCATGGGTCATCATTCGAACGTTGACTGTTTCCATCTCTGTCAAACGTACGCAAAAATACCCAAGCATCTTATACGAGACAATGCAAATTTTCTGATTCTCTTTAAACAGGATGGTACCAATTTGAAACATGTGTACAACGATCATGTGAATACCGACATGTCATATGAAGATTTCAATGCATTGTGTCGCAAATGTTGGGAGGATAAATATGGTTTCACAGTGATTGATAAGGACAGCCCAATGACCAACGGACGATACAGGAAAGGATTTAACGACTTTGCTGTGCTGTGAAATGCTCAATCGTCGTTGCAACCTCAACGTGGTAACATCTTCAACGTCCACGAGACAAATATATCAATGATGAATAGTAGCATGAAGATTGAGAATCGTGGAAAGGTAGCGGAAGAGATTGCGAAAACGAGCGAATCGATCCGCAAGAAGTATCGCGCTTTGAAAACCGGTAGAATTATTGAGAATACTGCATTGGAGAGACACTTTAAACCTATTATTGAACCTCTTAAGCAAATCGCGGGAAGCAGCGCTAATGTGGAAAGTAACGTTGATGTTAAAACTGCGCCATTATCAATGAGTACAAGCGAAGAAACAAAGAGTGTAATATTAAAACCCGAAAAAAAGATAAAGCGTAAGGCGAAACTTTCACCAGCCGCATTGACTCCGCCGAAACGGAAACTATTCAAAGATACTTCGATAGTTTCTACATTGACGGGAGCTCTACAATATGAGGAACCACATGAACCTTCACCGATCAACAATCTACTCACTGATGATGATGATGATGATGATGAGAATGTTTTCGAAACCCCCGATAAACCGGTAATGACATCCGTTATACGTCAGTTGCGAACGTACAAAGGACAACAAACTTTACATGATCATTTTGGTCCGTTGGGTCAAAAATATATGGGGGCTGTGCTAAGTAGTAGAAAAAATAACACTAGATTATGTTTACGGTGTACGTCTTAGTAACGATGGAGCAATGCTCGGTGATAAACGTGTCGATGTGGACAGAGTCGATAATATAATCATAGGCGAAACAGGATACATTGGAACACCTGGTCTTTACGAGCTAATATTCAAAAGAATCCCCGACGATTCTGTGTACACCGAGGCTGATATGCAAAAATACAAAAGTATACTATTGGCGACGAATGCTCACAGACGCGGGTACCTCCCGCAAAATCCGATACTGGGTAACAAGGGACACAAATATAAACATATAATCGCGCCCCTAGTATCACATGCGTCGAGCGATAAAGTGGCCGGAAAAGGTTTATATGCATCTCAAGCTATGATGACCTTAAATGACAACAATATCGATTACGATATGATCCCAACGAGCTGGTGGATCGTTTACGATTGTTTGACACTTCGCGCCAAGCCGGCAACAACGCTCATGACAACGAAATTTTATCGATTATCGAAGAACTACGCGAAGCTGGTCTTATTATAAATTAAACAGCGCTGCACTGACACGAGTCAGTCAGTCAGTCAATCGTCAGCCAGTCGAGAGCATCGACACAGCTTGCTCCGAAATGTCGACGCATAAGTTTGGAGTATTGCCAGACAGCAATAGTTCTCCGATCGAAGCGCATCAATGGAATGAACATGTTGAAGATTACATACATGAAAATGCTCTTTGTTTAAACGCTGCCAAAGTTTTCGACGCAAAGTCGCGCAAGATACAACATGTAGCGCAACCTGAAGCCGACAGTGACGTTGCAACCAAACAATACGTGGAAGAATGTGTTGCAGGTGTCAGATATCATTTAAACAACGTTGCAACCAAACGATATGTACATGAAAATGCCCTTTGTCTAACCGCCAATAGTAAAGGTCGTGATGGCAAATGTTTCGATGCAAAAATGCATGCGATACATAATGTACCGCAGCCGGAAGCCTTCAATGACGCTGCGCACAAATATTATGTGGATGAGAGTATAAAGTCTGTAAAACTTATGTTGCATGAAAGTAACGTTGAGAAGAAACAGTATATCGATGAGAATATAAATGCTGTAAAGCTTCTACTGCATGAGAGTAACGTTGAGATGAAGCAGTATGTAGATGAGAATGTTAAAAAATTGAAGGATTGGCTGGAAGACTACCGGAAAAAAAACATACAGAGCATAAATAGCATTCATGAGAACATAGACCAAATTTTAGACTGGACACGCTCAGAGATAAAGAAATCAGCGGAAATATAAAAGTAGAATATATATTTACCTGTGTGTCCCCTTCGCTTTCGAACTCGAAAAGTTAAGTTAAGTTGGGTTTTGTTACAACGCATTGGAGATCGCAGGGAAGAGAAAAGAGGTGGGGAGAAAGGAATATACAACATTTTTATAAAATAAATTCACATTTTATTTTTGAAGTTACTTTCGTAGTTTTGCAAACACTCGTAGCATTCTGCGTTTGTTATAATCTCGTGTATAATTCCATTTAAATGAATCGTAGTCAATTCACGGAATACAATATTAAAATATGTGTCTAAAAATTGTAAATTTTTCATTTGCCGTCGTACATTTTCCTCGATTTCGCGATATTTATCAACGAGCGTCCGTTTTACGAAATCTTCGTTTACACCTTCCTTCGTGAGATTAAGTTCTATTTCGCCTACTAAAATATATTTGCAATTACTCACAAGAGCGGCAACCGCTTGTAAATGTTCGTATCTAGCATCGATACATTTTGTGACAGTTTGCAGACCATCGAAAGATGTCTTCTGCATTATAATATTCTCCGTATACAGCTTATGCTTCTTCAGCGGCGGTTGCTTCAGATGCGTAGACTCCTCCGATGTCTTCTTCGCAGGTCCGCTCTCGTCCAGCATTTTCCCTCGCTGACTCACCATTACAGCTCGTGCACCGTACGCTGAGGTAAAGTTGATGCTGATATTGTTGATGATGATAGGGGTTGGTGTATTCTTATTTTCCCCACACAAATAAGAATTTGCAGAGGGTATAATATTTTTAAACTTCTCCCACGTATTCAAATCAAGGAGAATTCCTGAAGACGTGTTCCCCATGATCCTGATCGTTGGCTCAAATGGACCCATGTCGTACGTGGTGCGCAATCCAACCTGCATCCTCTTAGTGTCCGAATTGTTGAGCGCGTACGTCGTACATAGAAGCATGTTACGGTCGTTTCCCACTTCTGTAGAGAGACTGCTCGTCTTCTTCGACGTCTTCTTGAGAGCGGTGTCCACGTTAGCGCCGAACATTTTTCTTCCAAGAACTTGTTAATAACTTGTAAAGAACTTGTAATAACGAGAACTAGCTATGCTGCAAGTAGGAGCAACGAAGCTTGAATGCTTCGCCAGTCTCAACACCGTATGTCTTTCCCCGTAGAGAATAGAGAAAGTAGTGGGGATGGTGATGCGCAGACGTAAAAGGTCTACAACTACTTATCTTTTTCAAAATGATAAGATATAGTTTTTATATTTACTTAGAATGGAGATAGACTACCGTATCAATACCATAATTTTAGACTGGACACGCTCAGAGATAAAGAAATCAGGGGAAATTTAAAAGTAGAATATTACAGTTAAATTGACATATAGTATCAACATAGCGAGAGACGGATCATCACAAGCTGCAATGGCGAAGCAATCATCAAAATTTAACAAAAAGAAGAAAAGTTCAGAGAAGCTGCTCGGTAACGAAAAGCATCGGTTGGTGGAGGAGTTGCACGCTCCAGCGAGAAGATATTTTGTAGACCCCGTAGACGCGTCATAGTGCGCGGATACGATGATCTTTGGCAAGCTGACTTGGTAGAGATGCGTCCTTACTCGCAATTCAATAGAGGCTACCACTATATACTCACTATTATCGATGTGTTGAGCAAATATGCTGTACCGATGAAGAGCAAGAGCGGTAAAGAAGCAGTGGCAGTGTTCGCCAGGATATTTCAAGAATCTGGAAGATGTCCGAAAAATTTGCAAACGGACCAGGGAAAAGAATTTTATAATGCGGATCTGCAGAAACTCCTTAAAAAACACGGTATTAATCATTATTCTACGTACTCGGTAATGAAGGCATCTGTTGTGGAACGATTCAATCTCACGTTAAAGAACGACATGTGGAAAGTGTTTACGTTGAATGGAACATACAAATGGATCGACTCGTTACCACACCTTATCATGGAGTACAACACACGGAAACATCGAACTATCGGCATGCGTCCTATCGATGTGACACCCGAAATCGCTGATAAGCTCCTACACACAGTCTACAACAACGTAAAGATCGCTGCGCCTGTGAGATTCAAAGTGGGTGATCTGGTACGCGTGAGCAAATTCAAAACCATCTTTGAAAAAGGCTATACACCGAATTGGACAACCGCAGTGTTTAAAATCGTCAAAGTGCAGACAACTAAACCAGCGATCTATCTGCTCGAGGATTCTCGCGGAAAGTCTATTGCCGGAGGATTTTACGAATACGAACTGCATCGCGCTGCTAATCTTGACGTTTATCTCGTGGAAAAGGTATTGCGAAAAAGCGGCGACAAGGTTTTAGTGAAATGGTTGGAATTTGATAATTCGCACAACTCTTGGATACACAAAGAAAATGTATTGTAACCAATTCTTTGTTATAAACACTTTTTTATTACAATATCCTATTATAAACAGCTTGTAATAAACCATCTTTTATTATAGTTAACAATATTTCTTACAAACAAATATACGTACAATGATCGCTTTTCATTTCACAATGTACATGTATGCACAATGATCGCTTTTTAGTTTACAATTGTATCCTGTAATGTCCCCATGGTAAAATGTCTGTTGAGTTCGGTACGATATACCGCTTGTCATCATACGGACTCAGAGCAGTTTTCAGTTCGGACACGGTGTAGACTTTGTACATTTTGGATCGTATGCATGACTGACGACGTTGCTTTTCGACCTCATCTCTCAGACACTGCATATAATCATCAAACGTTATAGTTCGCGCTACGACATTGATCTTCACACCTTTCGCCTTCTTCGTATCATTTTTGCTGTCTACCTTTAGCATGTACATCTTTGCTCTGAGCCCGACGAATTCCGTCATAATCGCTCCGTTATTTTCATCTTTCATCAGACCTGGTACCTTTTTGTTGACAAGCGGTATACCGTACGCATTATCAGCGGGATAATCACTCGTATCAAACTTAGAAATATCACGTTTCATGTGCTCGAAAATATCATCGCATTGGATATGGTAGATTAAACTGTCAGTATCGGTGTACATTACTTTACATCTGTTCTGATACAGAGGAGACATGTACTCGTGATGAAATTCGTACAAGTAGATCTTGGATATGTCAAGGATACACATACCCACATAGATCGGCTTGTTGAATTTCACCTCAAGTTTACGTAGCTCAACGGCGATTAAATTTTCCGAAAAGACACTTCTGCTATGAAAATTTGGTCTCGCAATCATTGCCTCAGCACCGTATCGTCCATCCCATTTTGTCAATAGTTTTATGTCTACGTGATTGCGAACGTTTTCCATAGTTTTACCGAACACCGCGTTGTTCATCAATTTGTACAAATTTTTCTCGAAATCGTTTGTCGCGCGTGTTCTAAACTGCGTATTAAGTTCGATATAATCGCGGAGCCATGGAGATTGAGCAAATTTGAGTATGCGGTGTATTTTTCCAATACGAAGACCGTGACACGTGCACTGCTGCAGGTTGCGATAATGAATCACATAACGCTGCTTATCGCATAAGGTTGCGAGAAGCTTGTCCTGCTTTTTGTTTGGCGGTTTGCCCCGCGTCGGACAGAACGGTAAGTCAGTGTGCGCGTCGTGCAGATGTTGCGGATACTCTAAGTCAACCTCCAGAATGTAACCTATAGGTGAATCTAGTGCGATTGATGATACGTCGAAATTCGATACATCATCGACCCATCGAAATTCGGCGTATAGCAACTGTTGACACATTGCCCAACCATACAAGTTATTTACATCGAAGTACATCAAAAATGATGATGGTTGCAATGGATCGTAAGACTGCATGTACTTGTTATTGGCTTTTGCATATCTACCGGAACATTGACTGAGGCCACCGCGAATACCGCGCTCGATGAACATGACCATATCGATATCAGTGAGCAGTTCGAAATTAACGCCCGTATGCTCAACATAGCATCCCACGTAAAACCAGGCAAAGTGTAATAATACGCGGGATCTAACCCATAACTTTTGATACAACTATTGCGGAAATTTTCAAAAATATCGGCCAGCAACAAGACATCAATCTTCAGATACAAGTCGCTATATTCACCTAAGGTTTGAATGGCGAACCGTTGCCAGATGTTCGTGGCGTGCGCGTAATCGCTCTCAGATACCGTGTCACCCGTCAACGAACTGTAAAATGACTCGCGCGGCGGTAAACACCGATCCTGCAGCTTGTCCGCGCAATCAAGGGTATTCGTACGGAAGACCCCCTTTCGCGGTTCAATAAAATCAAAATCCTTGTCGGACAAATTTGAAAAATTCGGACCGAACAATTATTTAATTTGTCGTTGTCGAGAAAAG